TGGTTATCAAAACGTGGGGTATGCACCTAAAGATAAAAATGGGCCATAAGAATGCTTTGACCCAAAAAAAGAGAGGATAAGACGCAAGAATGCAGTGTGGGATATGCACTCAAAGAATAAAATCAATAAGTTGAGTTGAGTGAGAAACAAATTAAACAAAGGAGAAATAGCTGAATTGAAGAATTTAATTTGTGTTTAGAAGTTTTATCAGTTAGAAAGATCTGATATATTTTTACACATAAAAAGTATCACGGTGCACTTTAAGATGTCATCCTGGCTCAAAATTTTCAAACAGAAAATTTTCATCAATTTTCTCATAATAAAATCATAACTAAAATTTAAGTATTATATATAATTTAGGGGCAACCAGGTGGAAAAAAGGGAAACTGATTATATGAGTGACATATATATGGTTTGTCGGTTTCTTTTAAGTCCTTCAATATACACTTACTTTCCTACAACCTCAAGCCATTCAATCTCTTACCTTTTCTTTTGAGCTCTCCATTGCTTCCCTTTCTCTCTATTATAGCTCTCTCTCTCTCTCTCTCTCTATGTATATATTTATCATCCATATTTGGATAATTCATATTAAAAATAGATGGTTTCCATTTAATTTTATTTGTATTGTATTTTTAATATTTTTATCTAATATAGATATTAGATCTAAAAAAAGATAATTTTTTAATTATATTCTTTTAGAAATAAAGTTATTGTTTACAAAGTTAAAAAATTTTAAAGCTAGACGTAACAACAAAATTCTCATTTTTAAAAAAGAAAAAGAAAAAACACATCAGAGGCATCCGTTGGAAAATTAAGAATAATCGCGACGACAATAGCACGACACACTAAATTCGAAAATACTGTTTGCTCATGAATTAAACATTATATTTTGGTCTCAAAAGATAATGCCAACAAGCTAAGATAACACTTTAGTTATTTTTGTAGTCATAAGATAGGTGTATTAATGAACAGGCAGTCAACCTTAACTATAATAAATCAAGTCTAATAATTAACGATGAGTTTTTTTCAACAGTTCTTCCCATCTGCTGATATGAAACATTTTAGAATTCATGTTTGATTCAATAATTGGGACTTTGATGGATTTGTGGGTCGCATGTGCATTATATAAGACACATTTTAAAATTATAACCAGATCGTTTTAAAAAAAATTTCAAAACAAATTTAAGGTCACTTGATGTAAACTTCTAAGAAAATATACAAGTATACCGATCCATAAAAGTCACGATACTTAAAATTAAAATAATTCGGTTGAGCAGGATTAAGAAAAACATGAGAAAAATGGTGTTGGTTTAGTAAATTGGTTGTTTTCAAGTAATTCAAAATTAATCATCCACATCAATGGCAGCCCACCATTTTGCGTATGCATGTCTTCTTAGTCCTAGTTATCTTATCAGATTCAATTATACCCTTCCGATCCTTAATACAAAACTTAATTAACTGATTTGAGTATATTAAAAATATTAGTTGAATTAGTTAATCTGATTTTTTTAAAAAACCCTAAACATCTTTTTAATTCCTATCGTTTCTTTCCTACTGGATTATTATTGAGAAAATATCAATAAGGTTAATTTGAAAAAAGTTGATAATTATATGAAATATGTCTTATATTTAGAGCCAATATTAACTCTCTAATTAAGTCTTATATTAATGATCGGAGGAGTACTATTGGATTAGTTCAACATGATTAAATCCTTGATCTTTGGAAATCAAATCTTTTTCACTTCACTTAATTATTGTTCGTGTCGGAGCTTTCTTAATAGCTAGCTAGTTTAACATTTGTACAGTATTTGTAATTTTTTAATTTTTTTGGGGGGGGGGGAGATTAGTTGAAGCAATTTTCTATTATTCCATTTTCTTGGAGTGTGACCTCCAGAGAGAATATAATGTCAACTTTTAAATTAAACAATGAGAAATAAATTATAAAGGAACTAAACCTTATGGAGTGTGGATTCCACAAGAAAGCCATCACAAGTTGGGTTTTTAATATTAATCTATTCTAAATATAAAATATAGTTAATTAATTAGTTGAAATTAAAAAAAAAAGTTGGTTACTTTTTATATATTGTTATGTAGTAAAAGTTACGTGTTCCTTTTTGTAAAACATCCATGTGGGAGACGAAGGGAGTGAGACAAAATGAGATAATTAATTAGGATAATGTGAGGGAAAAAATTAAATGAAGAAGACAAAGTAGATCAGATCAAACCATATTCATGAACCAAATTCTATATTTAGGATCAAATGAGAATGAGATTATATATTCTTTTATTTGGATTCTTAATTAAAAACATTCCATCTCTTACTATTAGATTGTACAAAAAGTTAATATCATTTTTAGTTACTGAAATTTGATCACATTTTGATTTTAGTTCCTGAAATTTAAAACTAATAGTTTTGGTTCTTGAAATTTGATCTCATTTTGGTATTGGTTCCTAAAATTTGAAACCAATAATTTTGGTCATTGAAATTTAATTTCATTTTGGCTCGGTTTAAGATTTTTGGTCCTTGAAATAAGGACCAAAATTTCATTGGTTTAAAATCTTAAATTGGTTTCAAGGACCAAAAGTCTTAAATTGGCTCAAAATAAAGTTATATTCTAGAGAACAAAACTGTGTTGGTTTAAAATTTAAACAACCAAATTAAAATAAGATCAAGTTTTAAAAACTAAAACCAAAATAGTATCAAATTTTAAGAACTGAAAATGATAAACAAAATGAGTTATATTTTAGTTCGAAGCTTTAAGTAATATGACTTATCAGATGTAATAAGTTTTATTATACATGTATTGCAACACAAACTAAAATTTTCATTGATAAATTTAAGGATTAAAAACTCAAAGTTAAACTATTAAATTGAACACGTTCAGCTTAGTTTCAGGTGATCAAATGATTTTCATTCCAAATGCACATGATATAAAGCAAGCTGAGTTTACCTGAGGGTGTGTGTGTGTGTGTTTATATATATATATATATAACCTCTAGTTAAAGATAAGAGAAAGACGAAGAGTATGGGATTGTAATATAACTTTAAAGAGCATTATTAAAGATTGAACAGATCACCAATCCACTAATGAGAAACCCCACCAAGCAATAATTCATGTTTCCACTTCTAGGTAATGTTTCTGAGTCAACAAAGGAATCGGACAAAGAATATTCCATATATTTTTATTCTTAATATTATGTTTGCTTGTGGCTTCTGCGTGGAATCCACACTCCCTCCAATATATAATCATTATTCACCTCAATAGTTAATTAATGCTCAATCATAATCTATATATTTAAAGTTTAATCATATTGCTGATCAACCTAGAGGCCTCCACTAATTAACATTGCTTGTGCACGCCACACTCCCTTCATTTTTAAAATCCCCACAATTTTGCTTTTTTTTTTTTCTATGATTAATTATTTTATATCCTTTTGCCTCAAATGTGCTTATCCTCAAAGAAGGGAATCCAATTACCTTACAATATATGGTCTACCTCCAAGTGAATGTCATAGTAACCTATTCTTATGTATGGATTTAAAACACATACTATATATAGATCTTATCAAACCTTTAAATTTTGAGCTATATAAATATGGTTGTTTGCTAGCATGACGAAAGGGAACCATATAGGGATTGTAGAAAACCAAACGCAAATCATTAAGATAACCTTCATTCTTTTTTTATAAGAGTCTATTAACCGCTTTAATGAAATTAAGATTAGTTAAAATTAATTAAATGTTTAAAATTTTTACAACGTTTCAAAATTACCTTTGGATGATGTGGTTCAGTGGGGGGAGAGGGGTTTGGAAAAGTCATTGTTCAAGAGGGCATTGTTTAAATGACTCTCAAGTGTTTCCATTAAATTTTGGATGTGTCTTGTAATAAATAGATTTGAAATGAGTGTTTATTATGTTATGTATTGTTATTATTTAACTTTGGCTATTGTGTTTCATTTTTTTTCACGTAGTGTCTAAGGATTAATTTTTCACTACGCCTCTATATACTCATTATTTTTCCACTTAACATTTCGTTAATTTATCAAACATTCTAAAGTATTTTCCAAAAAAAAAATTCTAAAGTATATATAATATAATCCTTTGCTGCTCTTGACTGAGTACCTAGAAATATTTATGTTTTATCTGTAATTCATGTTGGAGTATGCACAAATAGTTTATCAGTCTAGATTTCTGAATAAGAGTATGTGTAAATAGTTTTGTCAAATAAATTCAAATGAAACAACAATTAGCCGGTATATGGAACTGTATTTGTTGGTAATTTAATTAATTAGTGATCTCAGATTTGAGTTTTAGTGATGGAATTGTTTTAAAATTTTATCCTACCCCTAGGCCAATCCCACAAATGTGAGAATCACCACACTTTCCACAGACTAAATTACCCCTCCCCGTCATGAACATTAACCTATCTGCCTTCCGCATTTTGGTCATTGTAGTTTTGTTTCTATTCCTTCTGGTCCTAAATATAGAAACTAAATAATTAATTTATGAATATTACAAACATTCATTAAGTTAGTTATTTGTAACAAATATATTTTGATTCCTCAAAAATATCCTCTTTGATCATTACCCCATTGACAAAAACCTCTTTCAGATATGCAATTAATAAGGATAACTTGGGGAAAAAATTTATGAATTTGGGAAGCAAAACAAATTGACATCTTATCTTTAAACTAGAGAGAATGCTTCTTCAGTCCATTCCATTATTCTCATCCTTTCCGGCAACCATATGTGTGTGTGTGTATATATATATGTATATATGTATTAGTGTGTGTGTATTAGTACAGGAGCATTAATTTTTGATGAATTATTAAACAAAGAAGTCACCATATTCTGAGTGCTATCCACTCTACCACCACTTCTTCATCACCACATTGAGATTGAGACCCATAATCTTCAATCCAACCCAATGCTGTATGAAACTTCTATATAATACCTTCTTCGATAAGAGTTTCTCCTCCACATATATCCACAAAACCAAACTTCATAACCTCTCATCCTTTCTTTCCTTCAAACTTCAGCTCTTTTCCATTATCCATGGCTTCTTCTCAATCTCATCACAATAATAATGAAACCCTATCAAGCCATATTGACATCCGTATTCACCCTAACGAAGAAGATGACAAAAACATCAACTACTTTCAAAGGGCACAATGGCTTAGGGCAGCCATGTTAGGAGCCAATGATGGTTTGGTCACAGTAACCTCACTAATGATCGGGGTTGGTGCTGTCAGACAAGACATCAGAGCCATGCTTCTTGCCGGGTTCGCGGGACTAGTTGCCGGAGCTTGTAGCATGGCAATCGGAGAGTTTGTGTCTGTGTACACTCAAAGGGACATAGAGTTAGCGCAGATGAAGAGAGAAAGAGAAGCCAACAACAACACAAAAGAAGTTGACGATGATGAAAAGGATAGGCTTCCGAACCCTTTTCAGGCTGCTGCTGCATCGGCACTTGCATTTTCCGGCGGTGCAGTGGTGCCTCTCGTCGGAGCTGTGTTCATAAGAGATTATAGGGTGAGGATGGCGGTGGTGGCCGCACTGGCTAGCTTGGCATTGGTGGTTTTTGGAGGTGTCGGTGCAGTGATCGGAAAAACTTCAGTGAGGAGGTCTTGTGTTAGGGTTTTGATCGGAGGTTGGATGGCTATGGCTATCACTTTTGGCTTGACCAAGTTGATTGGTTTTACTGGAATTTGATTATTATGAATATTAATAAGTCACTCCATTGGCTTCATTATGTATATCGTGAAGCAAATGAATGAGCAAACTTGCATGCTAGGACAAGTAATAGTTGAAAAATCATTTTAATTTTTCCCCCTTTTTTCTTTGTTTTTTCCCCTTTTTCCTTATTCTCCCACCATAAAATGCAGGGACTGGATTGAGAGAGATAAGCAGAGGAATTATTCCCTTCAAGCTTTTCCTTTTTCCTTTTGAGTTGTACTTATCCATTTTGATTGGAAAAAACTAGTACTCCTAAATACCTAATAATCGATTTGTTTTTAGGAGAAAAAAAAAATTCCCAAATTTGCAAATCCCAACATGGTACGCTGAAATGATCTAATTACTGTGAAGTTACTACAAACTAGTATGTGATTAGATTTTGTAGTGATATTACTTAAATGCCTTTAATTTGAAATCTTAAAAAAATGAAAAGAAAAAATGAAATCATAAGTTTAACAAGTAACAACTTAACTTTTCATTCCTGATAAGTCAAAGTTATCATGACAGTGTTTTGAATAGAATTGATTCTAATAAAAAGATACTAATTCAACTTAGGTTAATTAAGTATTTTATAAAAAAAAGTGAATTGCGAAAGACACCTATCTAAAATAATTTTCTTGAGGGAAGTTGATATTCTTTTTTAACAGTGACATTTTTATTATTGTTATTTAAGAATAAACAATATGAGTTTGTCTTATTATTTTTTAACTATGAATACAACTGTTGACTTTCCTTTATTTTATCTCCTCATTATTTTTTGGGGCATTTCTTACTTAATATTCTGGATAACCAAAGCATTGATTATTTCATCTGAATTAATAGTCATTTACTTAATAAAAAGTGTTAATATTAAGTACAAAATTATATTTACGAACTATCAAATTAAATTAATATGTGATTTTTAAAATTATGAAATGTTCTAGGCATCAATTAAGTTTTTATATCTGGGTAACTGGAAGTTGTTTTTCTATACATATACACACACAGATATATATATATATATATATATAATACATTTGGTTAGAAAAAAGTAATTTTTAAATGATGATGAAAATAAATTAAAAGATCACAAAAAAGAAGCCAAAAGAATAAACGTGTACACTGAAATAAAAGTAATATTTCTGGTAAAAAAAAGAAATAAAAGAAATATATTTTACAAAGACGAGATTAATTTTAAGTTCAAAATCAAAACAATTTCAATTTGCCATATATCCAAAAGAGAATACCTCAGAGTTACATTGCAGAGATTCTAATCTACCATTTCTTGTCACACTAACCCTCTTTCAAAAAGTTTTTATGGAAGTACAATCATAAATAGGTTTGAATTCAAAATGGTTTGGTCCTAAATATCTGAACTTTGATTCATTTTTCTCTCTCATTTGATATTTTTTCTACAATGCCCTCATTAGGTATTCATTAATACATTCATTAAAAGAGAAATATTGTCGGCAAAAATATAATTTTTTTACATAATAATACAAATAGCGAATTTCTTTAATTTTTCAGTTAATTTAAGCTTTATATTTAGAAACGGAGTAAATGTATATTTTTTATTTGAAATCCCATATGGTATGTCATCTTGTCAATTTCCATCCACTACTTTCGCAACACCTTATAGCAATTTGTTGCTTAGATCAGACCAAGTTAGCCTTCAATATAGGTATTTTACTCTTTAAATTTATATATGAAAGCTCCTTACAATTTCAGTTAACATTTTCAGGTGCAATTGTAGGTGGTGGTGACTTGTTGCTCCTGAAAAAGTCTGAAGCTTAAAAAGATCACTCATGTCTATTCTTCAATTAGCAACAGATGGATAAAATTAAATCCAAGCATAAGGCAATTAAGCCAAGCATCTACCAAAATTACAAACCTAAAACCTGACAAGTGACTAAGTGAGTAAGTAGTCGTATGAAAATAAAAAAAAATAATGATAATAATTGTGGAAACATAGTATTAATTGATTAAGGGCCTGGTTCGATTGGCAATAGAAAAAGTAACTTATTTTTAATTTAACTTTTGAAAAAGTTAGATTAGATAAAAGTTAAATTAAGTAATGTGATTTATGTTTGGATTGGCTTTTATAAATTAGTTTGTGAAAAGAAGTTGTTTGGATTATAATTGAATATGCAATTTTAGTTTGTAAAATTACCAAAATAGGTATGATTTTTATTAAATAACATAATAATTTTAAATTATTTATAAGCTCTTGTTGATCTCATATACATTTTTTATTTTTTATCATTTATTACGAGGGCATATTTAAAAACAAAAAAAAATATTTTTAACTTATTTATTATTTTAAACTAATTTTTCATTATTCGCAAATTAGTTATTTGAGACTTATAATAATAAAAAAAAGAAGTAAATTTCTTAACTATTTCTCTCTCTGTGTTTCAAAAGTCATAAGTTATAAGCTATAAGTTAAGCCATAAGCAGCTAATTTCTACTTATACTTATAGCTTATTGTGGCTTTTTTATCCAAAAGTTAGATTCGCCCGCTGCCAATTCCAACGCCATAAAATCTTAAAACGTGCTTCTGGTTATGAAAAAGGAGCTTATACCCCGTTAACCGCAGAGCCAAACGGGCTCTAATTCTAGCATATTTCTGCAATAATAACATATTTACCTTTGCCTAATTGTTACTCAAACAACACACCAAATGGGTATTCCCATGCATGTCACATGCTCCAAAATTTGTGTCTGTCACTCTCTGTATATAGAACTCTAGCTTCTACCAACTTTATATTTATACAATTATATATTTTATAACAATAATATAAAATATCATTTATTTAAAATATATTTTAGTACCATGTTTTTATTTAACAAATCGTTTTTCTCTAGTTATTTGATTTCTATTCATTTTATCTATCATGTTTTTATTTTTATAATACTCATAATTCAATTGATCAATCAGAGACTGAAATTTTAATTCAGTTCAATCAAAAATCAATTGAGCATATGTTTCTAATAAGGCTATCACACAAACATCAGTAGAAAATCAATTGACCATATTTCTTTAATGCTAATTAATAGAGCCGAGAATCTTAAGGAAGGCGTAGAAGAACGTGCATATGGTTGTTGTGGGCAATCTTGGATGATCACATTGTGTTTCAATGTGTGTTAAAAGCTCCACTTCAATAATTCTGGATTTGACACATGAATTGGTTGGATAGATATTATTTTCCGGGACTCTTAGTATAGATTTTGATAGTTTGAATTATATTATGACAATAAGAAACTCGCTTTCTGTGGTTTGAATTAAAGAGATTAATTGATGAGGAAACAAATCAAATATGTTCTTTCTGCATGGATTATGAAACAATATAGGAATAATGAGTCATGAACAAATATTTTTTTAGCCGTCATAGAAGAGATAGCTCTTCACATATTAGGCATGAAGAAGAATGGTGATCTCACAGTAAAAAGGATGAATAGTAGGCAAATTTAAAGGTACAAAACAACAACTTCCAACCCCAATGTCCAGATGGAAATATCATTTTATTATCATACAAAGAGTTTATCATTCCTATTATAAGGGGCAGGGATAATCATTTATTTTTTTTCAATATTTATTGAAGGACTTCATTTTTTTTTCGTTTAGAAATACCTATTGATTTTCGTATATGTTTGAGTTGGATCTCAGGCTTTAAATTTGATTGTTAGTTTAGTAATTTTTTTAAAAGAAAAGTTAGTTTAATTCCTCTTATCATTTATGCCTGCCACGCATTTTAAACTATTTGGGCGCGTCTTACTTGGACTTACCTTTACTTTTTAGCCTTTTTTCTTCTTCTTTTTATTAACACACTCTACTCTTGACCGTCATGATTTATTTACAATCCGTTACATCATGATCATATGATTTGTTTTTAAGGTTCACAATATATGGGTGAGGTACTCATTTAGTTCTTTAATTTTTTTCAAAAGTTTTAATTTAGTTTCTTAAGTTTAAAAAGATATTTTTAGTCTTTTAATTCTGAAATTGTTAACAAAAAATAACAACATTGAGATTTTAAATGTTGATAAAATATTCTTAAATGATAATATATTAAGTTTAATTTTGAAAATAACTGATTGTAATCTAAGTCTAACAATTTTAGTATTGAAGGACTAAATATATATTTTTTAAAATTAAAACCTTATTTAGAGTTAAAACAGCATAATAAATAGAAAGCCCAATAGATCGTGTGGACGGAGACTAAAAGCTTCTAACGTTGCTATAACTCATTTGCTAAGAAGCTTTTATATTTATTTTTTTAATTATTCTTTGATAACTATTTCGTTTTAATTGTTATATGGCTAGAAATCTTTAGCTTAATTTTAATCCTTATGTTAAGATTATATATGCCATCCATTTGTATTTTCTCTGCTTCTTTTTTTTTTTAAAAAATTTGATACTTATATTTTTTTCATTTTTATTAAATTTTTTAATTTTGTTTTGTTAACACCACTAGCCCAACAGACCATTAGCCCTTATACTCACTATGTGGCGAAGGGAGTAGCAAATGGCATGAACAATTATGGCGAATAAGGAAGCAAATCAGTTTATAGAAGTAGATTCTCTAGGAGAAAAATGGAGAACCACTCCTTCCCTTGTTGTTGAAATTGGCAATTAACACTAAAAAAAACAACAAATTAACAACGAAATTTTAAATTAGCAACAAAATGAGGAACGAAATTTGTTCTATCATAAGAAAGGCTGTCACTAATTGATTAGTAATGGCTGACTAGCGATAGAATTTCAAATTAGTGACTATATCATATTCTTTTCTTATACATGTTACCACTTACAAGATACTCAACACATAACATTGATTATATTAGCTGGTGCATATAATTTGAACTAACCTAAATACTAGCCCTGGTCCTAATTATAAGAAGCAATTGACTAATTTGAGAAGATTAAGAAAATAAGATAAGTTAGTTATTTGTAATAAATATGTGTTATTTTTCCTAAAATATCTTTACTAATTAAATGTATTCGTTAGAACTACCATTATTAGAAAGACTATCTTAAAAAAAAGGATAAATATGAGGAAAAAGGTAAATTGAGATCTTATATTTAGAACTAAAATAAAAGTCAAATAAGGTTTTATATTAAGAATCGGAGCTAGTAAAAATAAGCATTTACAATCATAAAAGAGAATGATGGATGAACAGTGTATTTGCAATTTGC